TATCATTTATGCATGATAATGCATAGTTCCACAGTGCTCCGCTAGTTACTGAGTTTTTTTTGAACCTATTCTCTATCCTTCCATTGTTGGATATAGGTCTCTCCCAGTTCTCTCCATCTTTCCCTATCTTGAGCTGTTCTCTGCCATGTGGGACCTCCTTGTTTCCTGATGTCATCTTTACACCTCATCATCTTTCAAATGCGGTTGAAATTACGCGATTTGTTTGGCCTACTCGCAATCTAGATTTAAATTCCATTGAGCATATTTGGGATCAGACCGAGGGACGTCGCCAGACACCGTGCCTAGACTATCTAGAAAGCTTTGAAATATACTGGAACAATAATAGGATAAATTTCAACAGAATGTGCTTCAAAATCTAATGACACAGAATTCAAATTAAAGACATTAAAAAAGGCAATTAAAATTAAACACGATTGAGACGGATCTTTTGATTGTTAAGAAAATTATAGACACAAATAGGATTAAAGATAAGAGATGTAGCTATCTGAGAGATAGAAGGAAATGGAAGACATCTGTAAAAAATACGATAGCGTCAACATAAATAAACATTCCTTTTCCATAATTTCCTTTAACCTTCTCTTAATTTCCCAATATTTCGTATGTAAACGCATCTCAAAAATAGATCACTTGTGAAAAGCACTCTGCCGAAACAGCTGTATTGATAATAAATTTTGAGGAAACGTTAATAATAAAAGTTTTCAGTATTTTATTGTTAGAATTACTGATATGAAGAATCTATTGCTTTTAACGGACCAATTACATTCAACAACTGTTGAGAGACAAAAATGGAGAACTGGCATAAGAAATAATCTAAGTCACCTACGACAATAAGTAATATATGCTGTTAATACAAACGCAAAAGATGGCAAAGTTACTAGACCAGAAGAAACGTTCATCGACTTAAAATAATTAAACTAATTGATAGAAATATTATTGATGTAATGGTTGAACTTTTCAATATATCAGACTGACATAATCTCCAAGCAATGGATGCAATCGATATTTGTAGCAATTCTTAAAAAGTCAAGTCTAATAACTTAATCAGGCCACAGAAAGATAGCTTATCGCTTATAGCTGTATCGTTATGTGATCCAACATTATCCCCAACTCTAGAATGGGACGTTATTCCGTACCTATACGGAAGTGATCACTACCCCATTAAAATTGCGTTTCCACAACTCCAGTACTGTTACTACTGCATCAAAATGGAATATTAAAAATGCAAACTGGGAAAATTTTACAAAATATGTACAAAATGAAATAAACAACATAAAAGATGTTACTCTTAATGACATAGATAAAGACCCAGATACCTTCATATCAATAATCAACAAAGCAGCAGAAAATCATATTGGAAAAACAAAAACACTAAAATATAATAAACCTTTACCATGGTGGTCCTCAGAATGCAAAGAAGCTGTAAAAACATATAAAAGAGCTTTCAATAGGTTTAAGCATCATAAAACCAATGAAACTATGGCAGAATACAAAAGACGTCGAGCGGAAGCTAGATATATTCTTAAAAAATGCAGGAAAACGTCACGGCAAAAATTTATTTCAAGTATAAATAGTTCTACCCCAGCAAGTAAAGTGTGGCAAAATATGAAGAAAATATCTGGAAAAAAATGTTCAAACAAAATACCTTTCCTAGCAAAAGATATTATAACCGACCGAAATGAAATTGCTGAACTATTCGCCAGTGAATTTGAGACCAATTCAAGTAACGATAACTATCCACCGGACTTTAAGCTTAAGAAAGAAAGCGCAGAGAAAACAAAGTTTATTTACAACCGATTACAATGCAAGAACTCAAGGATGCCCTAATGTCAAGTAAAAATTCCGCTCCAGGTCCAGACGGTATACCATTAATTTTTTTGTTAAACCTACCAGAAAATGGAAGGTCTTGGCTATTAAAATTGTACAATTTTATTTGGACAAATCAGGTTTTTCCATCTGTATGGTCAGACAGCATTATAATTCCTCTGATCAAACCCAACAAAGACAGAACAAATATAGACTCGTACCGTCCTATATCACTCACTAATGTAGCATGCAAAGTTCTAGAAAAAATTATAACCAAAAGACTGTTGTGGTACTTAGAACAAGAAAAACTTTTAATTCCTCAGCAAAGTGGCTTCCGTCAAAATAGATCATGCGTAGACAACTTAGTAGATTTAGAGTCAGAGATACACGAAGGTTTTGCAAATAATCAAGAGACCATCGCAGTATTGGTATTTGACCAAAAACTAACATGGAAACAACATATTTTAGAAATAAAATGTAATGAAAACATTATCAAATAAAAAATGGGGATCCGACGAAACCACGTTGTTAAATATTTATGTCACTCGTTAGATCAAAAATAGATTATGGGGGCTATTGTGTATGCCTCCGCTAAAAAACATGTTGCCAAGCAACTTGAAGTCATTCAGAACACAGCACTTCGCATTGCCATAGGTGCATTTAGAACCACACCAGTTAAGAATCTCCAATGCCTCACAGGAGAGCCACCTCTTAATCTACGAAGAAATTATTTATGCCTTTCGTATGCAGCATCAGTCGCCAGCAACAAATTCCACCCAGTATTTCAAAATGCATTTACGGACCGTTACCTAGAAGCTTATAACAAAAGTAGGTTCGATCCACCATTCTACGAAAGAGTTCGAAGAAATTTAAAAGATCTACAACTCCAAATTTCTGACCTCTTTCCTTCAAATGTAAAAACTCCACCTCCCTGGTTAATCATGATTCCCTAAATCAATACGACGCTACTCCAATATAACAAATCATATACATCACCCACTGTAATCCGACAATCATCTTTAAAGGAACTCGAGACTTACGGGAAAAGCTTTTGCATTTATACAGATGCCTCCAAATCTGCAAATGACGTAGGAGCAGCATTTGTCACTCCATATTCCTCTTCCCAATTTAAATTAATGCCAGCCATTTCTATATACACAGCAGAATTATATGCAATATTACAAGCCCTCATTCATATCAAAAGTACAAACCATTCTTCTTCCGTCATTATCACAGATTCTCTAAACTCCTTAACAACAATCGGTCAACTATATACTAAGAACCCATAGAAGAACCCCCAAGAATACTAAGAACCCCAAGAACCATAAGTTTTCCCATGACAATTTTCTATTATATTTGAATTTAAAAAAAATTGTAAATTTGGGATTTACACAAAAATATAAAAATCACTCAGTTTAGAAATCTTCTTGAAAGATCACTGGGAGTGTGTCGCTTTAGTCTTCGATTTGGTAGTGGCCTCATAAGGTTCATTTCAATTTGTGATCTCTTCTTTACTAGTCTTGGCTTGAAGGCCATGCGCAATGAACTTGTAATGACGCGTGAAACTTTTAATTAAAACCTCTCCAAAAGCTAGATCTTATAACTCCATACTGGCTTTATGACTGATTTGTAAACTAGTTATGTAGAGATTTTATTTAGTATCTAGACAGTAAAGTCTGCTACGCTTAAGGACCAATTGTTTTCTTTCATGGACGTATAAATAAAGATGGACCGGTCTATTTACATCTTTACTTGAAGTCATGAGATATTCACAGTCATAGGCACAATTCCCTAATTTGACGTTGTCATATTATTTTTTTTTTCCGGGTCAATCTTCGAAATAATTTTCGATTTTTAGTATATTTAGTATCTTTATTTATACGTCCATGTTTTCTTTTAATGAATATATGCTTCTTTCATGTTAGCCATCTGCTGAGGTGCATACCTGGGTATTTGATCTTGATCTTTTTGTTGTAATACTTGGTTATTTAAAGACACTGGTTGGCATGTGTTTTTTCTCTTTAAATTTAAATATATTATAATTTAACCCTAAAATTTAATATTTGGTTTAGTTTTTTGTTATCTACAAGAAATTACTTTAAATGTTTGTCTCTCTAGAATTTAGTATTAAACTTAAAACATATAATTACCGAATTGCAACAAATATTGTATAGAAACCTATACAGCATGGTAATATCTGAATACGATTTATTTTTTATTAGTTACTCGTGTGGCAGTATATCTACTTTGCATAAAATATTTGTTTATAATGAATTTTGTAGAACCTTTATACAATAAAAATTATTACACAGTCAGATTGTAATCACCATAGTACATACATAAAATGGCCTAGTTCCAATTAAACTCGAATTCATCAGTTGCAAAAGTAAGTTGGTATAATTTAACAAATTATTTTTATTATTGGCACTAATATTAAAAGTAGATACATATATATAAAATATATTTAATGCTTAAGGAGTGCAAAACAATTAACATTTTATTTATACACTCACCGGCACAATAAACCGCCCATTGCTACCATCCGTCCGTTTGTTTACACTTTTTATGGCGCTCTCAACTGTTTCGTGTTCTGTCAAGTGGGTACATTGGCAAAAATTAAACACTATACAACAGAATAATAACAATCAGAATGTCAACTCCGCTTGTCAAGATAAGTACGCGCATTTCGTTCGCGCAGATGAAATCAGCCATGTTTTAAACGGAACCAGTGCTGTTCAGTAAAATTTTATCTGGTGTGCATAGAAAAATTAACCCCGTTTAATTGATTTACAGAAACCCTTTCCATCTCTTATCTTATTCGCGACAAAACGCAAAATCTGCATACGCAAAAACTGCTCTCTTACCCTTTAAAATGCATTTTGATTTTTGTCGATAGGATACTCCGATCAAAAGATTTTGAATTTTTACCGTCGGGTTGATACAAATTTTAGATTGCATAAGGCGCATCTTGACAAATACATCTTTTATTTTCTCTAATATTATTTTAAATCGTTTTTAGAAAGCATTCCCTTTGATCATCAAATATATTTTCTGCTAAAAAGCTCCATCTTGACATAATGATTTTAACAAATAAATTTAAGATAAAATATATAAAAACGAACTTACTTTTTGCAAACATTAAAAAATGAACAAAATGAATGTTGCGTACATCAACAGTAATTTAAAATAAACTAAACTCTATCTCTAAAAATCATAGCAGTGGGACCTTTTGGAGCTAACAAAAACTCGAACTGCAACTCCATAGGTCTCACTACTTCAATTTCAAAGTTTTTAACAACATTTTCTAAAATAATAGGAAGCACATGTTCAATAAACCTTTTTCCAGGACATATTCTTCGGCCTATTCCAAATGGGGTCATAAGAAATGTAGAATTGCTGGAAGTTACTGATTTTTCTTGATTCAACCATCTCTCGGGCCTAAACTCGGTCGCGTTGCTAAAATATTTTTCATTTTTACAAGCAATTCCTGTTTGACATATCAAAACGCTACCTGTAAAATAATTGTACTATTAAAAATAAATGTTGTTTTTCATCTATGAGTTTTCAACGATATTTCTTAGATAACAAAATGTGATATTATGTTATTTATTGTATTATGTCTACTACTTACATCCCCTTATACAGTGCTAGTCAAAAGTCCGTTCCCCCCCTCGTATCTATTGAACGGTTATACTCATTATATTATTTATCTATGGTTATACTCTAATATTATTTATCTAAGGTTATACTTCTAATAGTGAAATTTGAAGGGAGGTCTTAGACAATGAAAGAGAGAGGACGGGTAACGCTCGTTCAACCAACCTTCAAAAAGTGAGGCCCATGGACGTATATATACGTCCATGGTGAGGCCACTTTTCGATATATCTGCCATTTTTTTTGGTGGCAAACAATAGATCTAACACCAGTTTTGTTTTTATGGTTTTTTAAAAAAAGTGAATTAAACACCTATTTTTTTTTAACAAAATGGTGAATTGTGAATATATTCTTTGTAAAAATCGCAGCGAGCAGAAAACACCAGGAATATCGTTTCATAAGTAATTGTATTATAATTTATAATTTTACTCACACACCATGATGATTTGTCAGTGTCGATGTGCGTTGAGGGTTAAAATTCTATAAAATTCCATAAATAAGTAAATAAATAAATAAATTTCGTTAATTTTGATTCCAAAATATTTGTATAAAATAAAATAAATTAAATAAAACATTTAATGTACAAAAATGTTTCATTTTAAATATGAATTAGTCAATCCTTAAAAATACAAAGATACGCCGTTGACCACTTCTTTTGGTGGCAGTTTGGCTTCATTTTTAGCGATACGGTTACGTGTCCTCTCTCTTTCCTTGTCTAAGAGGGAGGTATCAGCCAAAGGATAGTACACAGAGTGTGGGCTGAAAACAAATTTTATCCATACAAATTAAAAAATGTGCACCTACTTTCAGATGAGATGATCCCGACCGAAGACTAGAATTCTATGAAAATATGTCCAATAACATTCACCAACAGCTCTATTACATAAAATCAATTTGTTTTAGTGAAGAAAGTACTTTTTCTCCCAATGGAAATGGTAATACACACAATGTAATGTATTGGAGTGACACAAATCCTTACGTCTTTCGTGAAACACATACCCAATTTCCAAAAAAACAAGATGGTGCTCCTGCACACCATTATGGTGCAGTAAGACGTTACCTAAATGAGGAATAGGTGGTAGATGGATTGAACGACGAGGTACGATAGAATGGCCAACTTGGTCAGCATACCTCACAGCATTAGATTTTTTCTGTGGGGATACTTGAAATATAAAGTTTACGTTTGACATTTTGAAACAACGAATTGATGAAGAATGTAGGGTAATTTCCACCGACACATTTAAACGGATTCCCTCCAAAATTTAGAAATAGGATGTATTACTGTCAGGAAGTAGATGGAGCACATTTTGAACATTTTTGTAAGAACGGGTTGTTAATATTTATTAATTAAATGAGAAGCCACAATTTTAGAATTTATTTATTTTATTGATCAAAAATGAGCTTAAACTCAAATAAAACTACGATGACTGAATAGGTATTTTCAATACCTCTTCAAACGACGTATCACTTGCCATAAGGTCCCATTTAAAATTATCTGTCACAGTGGCGATGTAACGTCATCTGCCACTAGTTACATTACGTCACCTATTATGACTAGTTGAGAAGTCTACGTGTGTTTCATGCCCCGCGAACTCTAGTAAAAAAAATGTTATTCTATTTAGTTTACTTCCAGGCCGTATGAGGCCGTGCAAAACGTTAATTTATGCATCATAGAACATGACATTTGACAAGCCCTGCACTGTGACCTACCGCGTCCAAAAAGCCAATTCAAAATGAAGCCTTTATAGCGTGTAGCTGTTTACGTGGTATTTGTTTGCGATTATTTTGGTTTTTGCGACTGTTTAAAAAATTATTTTCAATCGTATTTTTCGATATTTTTTTATACCCGATTAAGTGGTGTTTTTGTTTGGTTTGTGTGACCATAAGAATAGTTTATATTCATTCCTATTTTTCCATATTTTTATACACCTGATTAAGTGGTAAGATTTTTTGATTATATTGTAGATTGATTGATTTATCCATGGAACGAGAGTGTTTATCTAACGTGTTTAAAATACACATTTATTTAATTTGATTTAAGATTTTTATTTTTAGGTAAAATGCCTCCCATCAACTGTTGTGTGGCAGACATGTTGGAAAAGTACAACATAGATTTCCGGATCCACAAAAGTACGCGGATCTTTTTAATCAATGGGTACATTTAGTGGGTGATAAAAACCTGTTGGATAAAGATCCTCAAAAGGTCTACACAAGTAACAGAGTTTGCTCCATTCATTTCAAAGCAGAAGATTTTGGTCCTAATAATCGACTAAAAACAGGAGTTTTGCCATCTATCAATCTGCCAGGTATATAATTAAGATTTAGATATTGAAAGTTAAGTTAGTACTGCACATATATTTTTGTTGTCATTGTGGAGTTACAGGTTTTTTTTTATTATTGAAACTTTAATATTGATATTGTTTTCACTCACTCAAATTTTTTATTTCAGCCTCTTTGGGTGAGATACATTTACCCCAGACAGAAAGGCCTCTACTAAAGGACATACAAAATGTCATGTCCAGCTATAGTTTCAGTGTGTCTCCAGGCACAAATTATTTATTAAACATTGATACTTGTCCTGGAACTAGTAATCAAACTCCAAAACGTAAGTATTTCTATATTAGAATTTAATATGATTGTAAACAATAAAACAACCTTGTTAAATGAAATGCATTTATTAAGACATTTTTGTGCAATAAGTTTAAATATTTTATCCAATTATAACCTGGCCCTCTAATACCATATCTGTAAAGCTTTTCCATTAGTATTTTGTGATTTAAAGTATCAAATGCCTTTGATAAATCTAAAAATATGCCCATGGATATATCTTTGTTTTCATAACCCTCATTTATCTTTGTTATAAAATCATAAATGACAGTCTCTATAGAATTTCTGTTAAGGTACCCATGTTGTGCATGGCATAACAGTCCCTTACTATAGAAAAAACTGAGAAGCCTGTCACACATGACTGTTTCAAAATCCTTTCAACTGAGACTGAGCAAGAATTTACATGTCTATAATTCTTTAGATCACATTTATCCCCTTTTTTGTGAAATATTGTTACTAGACTATCTTTCAAGTCTTTAGGGATCTTGCTATTATGGAACCGTCTATTAAATACCTGTTATTATAGGGATGGTTAGTGGCTTACTTGTTTTCAAGAGCTCGGCAACTATACCGTTGGGTCCTGGAATTTTATTATTTTTCAGCTCTTTTAAAGCTCTTTCTATTTCGAATCTTTTTATATTTGGTATGACTTCTGATAAAAATTTCTGGTAAAATAAATAAATTTTAACAACATAATAATTATTGACGTAAATCTTCATTTTATAATTCAAAATTTACAAACTAAATTTAAACAGTATACTCTGTAACATGTAACATTATATAAATAAATAATTAAGAAAGAAAATTTTGTTGTGTTTTATCTTGATTGTTCACTCGATGAAAATATCTATTGGAATAAATGTTCTTGATGTTGATTGGATAGTATGCTCAAGGTGAGTGAGCGGTAAATTTGAAAGACTTACCGTACAGCTTGTCACGCAGGGGAGCTATACTATACTATATATTATATCATCCGCTCTTTATTGGTGAGCCTGCATACACGGAACCATTAGTTCCGTCTATGCAGGCTCATTTATTATTATAGAGAGCGGGTATGATATAATATAGCATAGCTCCCCGTATGTGACAAGCTGTACGGTAAGTCTTTCAAATTTACCGCTCACTCACCTTGAGCATACTATCCAATCAACATCAAGAAGGTTTAAAATTTCACACCTATCATGTAGGAGCTACTATCCAATCAACAACAAGAACGTTTAAAATTTTGCACCTATCATGTGGAAGCCACAGACCAATTATGTGAAGGCCATATTATGGTATACTTCCAGGCCGAGAGGTGGCGCTGAAATACGTGACATATTTTATTAAGAGTAAGATCGCATTCTACCTAACCTTCTTACCTATGGTGTGTTTATAAGCTCCCTTCAAATTTCACTATTATAACAATAATCGTTCAAAAGATACTAGAAGAAACAGACTTTTGACTAGCACTGTATATTTAATGGTTCACCCAACTAATTGTTTTTGAGTACTAAAAATATTAGATTTATTTTTAACACATATTTTCTGTTGCACACAATTACGTTGCTCAGGTTTTCTTCTATTTTATAATATGTTATTATTATTCCTCCTTACAATGGGGGAGGAAGGTCTAGTAGGGCTTCCATAGCTCCTGTTGGTGTGCCTCTCAGAGCCTCCTTGATTCCAAGACAAACAGTCTTTGCACCTAGCTTAGTTTGATTAGTATGAGTATTTGATTAGTCATCGCTTTAGTGGATATAAACTTAGACGAGAGCAAGTAGAAACTGGCATGGAATATGTAGAAACCTATCATCCAAAAGAATTATTATTGATTACCAGGCAAAGTGTGTACCCTTTAAACCATGTATGTTTTCTAAACATCTAATTGAGAATATAATACCATTATCATGGTGCGTTTTATGAAAAATATTAATACGACAGCTATTGTATCGTCATCCAAGTTAAAAAAAACTTTTCTCATCATACGATTTAGTCCATCCCAAACTATGTAATCAGCTAGGCAATGTCAAAGCTGCTAAGTTGGTTTCAATTTTTAAAGAGCCTTATTCCATCACTGATGACGTGACTTGTCATATATCAGATTACAAGATTACTATTTGCGTTCTCAAACTACTATAGGTCCCAGCACTTGTTTTGAAAGATGGCGGGCGAAATAGGGATAACGTTTGTTAACATTGTAAAGGGGATAGGGGATTACATTGAAATTGTTAAAAGACCCCTTTGAAAAGGAGTCGTATAGGTATGTTG